TATATATATATATATATATATATATATATATATATATATATATATTCCCCCGGGTGATGACTGATAAATAGATATAGCTTATATAACACGCTTCGGATCAGATCACAGGAATGAACTAGTATGGGATAATACAAAGTCCGATAAACAATCGCAGAGCATTACAAGTATTACTCACATAGCAAATATCCGTTCGCTACGCTGGCGGCACCGTCTGCCGCCGTTACGTGACGCAGCCGTGCGTAGTATGACTAGAATGATGCAAGCAAGCATCCTCAACGCCAGTTGTCCGTATTAACCGGTGTCGCCACCTATCGTCCGACCGCGCAACCAATATGCAGATCGCCGTGTACCGTAACCGGCGTAGTGACCGACGTAGCGTTTAGCATGTGTGCTATGTACGGGTGCGACGTTGTGTTTGCTAGCCACATATAGCTTATGTGGCTAAAACCGCCGCATTATTACTGGTTGTTCATAGAACGTTACCCTATTTTACGTTCAGGGCAATACGCGTACATCGCCGCCACGCTCGTCAATGTTACATGCATCTAGCCGACTATATACACATCAGAGAGAGAGGGAGGGAGAGCCGGAGAGAGAGAGAGAGAGAGAGAGAGAGAGAGAGAAAGAGAGAGAGCGAAAGAGAGAGAGCGAGCGGGAAAAAGCCAAAGAGAGAGAGAGAGAGAGGGCGGGCGAGAGAGAACCAAAGAGAGAGAGAGAGAGAGAGAGAGAGAGAGACGGGGAGAAAGAGTTAGGAAGAGGAAAATAGAGAGGGAGAGGGAGTTAGGAAGAGGAAAAGAGAGAGGGAGAGAGAGAGGGAGAAGAAGAGAGAGAGAGAGGGAGAGAGAGAGAGAGAGAGAGAGAGAGAGAGAGCACGAGAGCGAGAGAGAGAAGCAAAAGCGAGAGAAAGAAACAGAAAGAGAGAGCGAGTAGCAGAAAGTACGCTTTTGCATCATCTAAGCGAATCTGCTCACACGGCAGTCGCACGACAGAACACCCGATGCCGTCGTCTCCGACTCTCCCGCTCCAAAACAACGCCAACAGAGCTTAATATACCCTACACTGGTTACGACCTCGTAACTACGCTCGTCGCCTAATGCGCTTGCTGCACGCCTCGCACTGGCGAACTCTTACCGCTACGCACGTAAACGCCCCCTCCACCGCTAATGGAGACACTATGACAGGCGCTATGAGATATCGGCCACGCGCGGATTCAGTGGGTGTTGGTTAAGCCATGTATGGCCTTCCTCTATGTTTCTGCTTTCCAAAATGGATGATTTTTTTTTAGAACAAACTGTTTTGAGATACGTAAGAGATTGTATCTGCGATGTTTCATTAAAACAAAACTTGTTGCTCGCAAGGCGCCCCCTCCCCTTTCTTCAAATCCTGGGAACCCTCCCTCTTTCGTTCGTTCGCCCCTCTGGCTACGCACCGTCTAAACTCTCAAACTCAACTTTCTTTTCAAACAACGCACATAAAACGCGGGAATTCGCGAAACCAGCACGCGCGAAGCCGAGCCGACAACGACGACGACGACGACGAGCCGACGACGACAACAAAGCCGAGCCGACGATGACGACGACGACGACGACGACGACGACGCGCGGCCGAACAACGCGACATTCCGTGGAAGCCGTGGGATGCTGCGACGGACGATCTATATAGTAGCTAAACAACGTCACTGTCGCTGCCACACAAACAATAGAGCCGACGCGCTATTTACAAATAAAAACAAACAAAAAGAGAGAGAGAACTGCGAACAACCCGGCAATGATGGCGATCGAACAACACCACTGCAATACGTGGTTACTTGCTGCCTTACTGTTACTGCAGCTTCACTCTCCAACGCATGTGCGCGACCTTGAATAAAAGCACGACAGAAGACGCGCGAGCGGCATCACGTCTTACTAAAAACAACGTGACAACAGTGTGACGGGCGAGCTTCCGCGACAGAGCCCGTAAATGTCATCACAACTGTCACCACTGGTTGTCACCACCGTTAACGACAACGTCTCGCTCGCATCTCGCGCAGCCGTTGCAAACGGACACGGCCAATCACAATGAGCTACGCAGTAGTTCTAACGACGGCTTGAATATATAGTTTTCGTTCGCACGTTTATGTCTAGTTCTGAACCGTAACTGCACCGAGAGTAAAATCGGTGATTCTAGCTGGCCTTGCTAGAAAACAATGAAGCAAAGACGCGCACGCGAGGTTCCTGCGTTCCATAATGCTGCGTTATAATCCTGCGTTCCATAATGCTGCGTTCCATAATGCTGCGTTATAATCCTGCGTTCCATAATGCTGCGTTATAATCCTGCGTTATTAATCCTGCGTAATAATCCTGCGTTCCATAATCACTAATCGTTATAATCCTGGGCGTATTTAATTCGCTGCATCAATTAACCTGGTTACAAATAAAGGGCGACGCAGACGTAACGATGACGTCATAGATCGTAAACGCGTAAAGATTTACTGGCTGTGACCTGGCCGTGACCTGGCAGAGGCCTGGCCGTGGTCTGAACCCCTGCACCGATGCGTTCGGGTGCACAAAGACTACCAGAAACTCTTCGTTCACGACTAGCTAACAGACGGGTGCTTACAGCTTAGTAAACGCCGATAACACAGTGCGCGTGTGTGCATGCTATGTATGCTTGATTTCCTCCCTTGTTCGCACTACCACGGAGCATATAGAAGCTCATGTGGAATATGCTAGATGCGATAAGGGAAACCCGTTCACACACCGTGTTCGCAGGATCATGCATATCGTGGCATAGCAAGGAGCCGGGGGCTGACAGTAAGTGCTGAGAGGTGGGTCTATGTCCGGGCCCAAGGTACGCCGATACGTACCCTGGTACGTCCGAGTATACCAAAAGAACCGTACATGTCACTTATCAAAATATGCCGGACGCGTACCTTCGCCATACTCCACTAACGATCTAGGATCGGCTAACCCCTACTCCCTAACCGTAACGCCTAACGACATACAGATAGTTAACAGTGGTACGTTCGGCAAGTAATCCTTTTCGGGGGAACATAGACCCTACGAGAGAACGTAATAGCGATGACAACACAGTGCCAAAGTACAGTCGCTACACATTCGCAAAAAT